TTTAGCTGTAGGTATAGAAAATGCCGACGTCAGGAGGTCAACACAGGGAAAATGGAAAGCGAAAGAAGGGCAACGTTTCCTCTTTATTATTTGACTAATCCAGAAGCTGTCAAGGGTCTCGCGCAAGCACCCGTTCAACAGGAAACGTCGCGCTCTTTCTTGTGTCTTTGAGGGCAAGAAAAGCTTTCCCAGCAGTTCTCCTGGAACCTTTCTACGTCTCAGGCAGAAATGCCAATGGCTAAGGGAAGGGGATAGCTCAGTTAGCTTGTGTGAGGAGCTCAGATCCCAGGACCGTAGGGGCAGGGCAGTGTGGGGCTTTAACAAATGAATCGCAGCGGGGAGAAAGGAGAAAGAAGTGTCCGCATCGAAAGGAACCAAGAGCGTCACGGTTAGAATGTTTTCTTGAGATCCAACCAAGACTGTCCCTTTAGGCTACCTAGTGGTGTCAGCCTGTGATCCTAGTATTTTAGGGGCAGAAGCAGGAGAATTACTGTCAGTTCGAGGCCAAACCGGGCTACACAGTGAGCTCTAACCCAGCCCAGGTTATGTAAGTGAGACTCACACAAATAAGCACCCCCCCCCAAAAAAAAAATCTGGGTCTCACACACCCCTCTGATACCAGAACTTGAGATGTGGCAGTAGGAAAATCCATTCAAGGCTGCTGGATATGTGCCGGGCATGGTGGCACAGGCCTTTAATGCCACCACTTGGAAGGCAGAGGCAAGTGGATCTCTGCAAGTTCCAGGCCAGCCTGGTCTACATAGGAAGTTCTAGGACAGCAGGGCCATGTCATAAGACCCTGTCTCAAAAAAAAGGGGGGGGGGGGGCGGGGAGGCTACTTAAGGCGTTCAAGGCCATCTTTGACTACAGGCGACCCTGTCTCAAATAATAAAAACAAGCTGCTGGAGGGGTGACCCAGAGGTTAAGGGCAGACACCAGTTTTGCAGAGGACCTGAGTTTAACTCCCAGCACCCTCATCAGGCAGCGCACAAACTGCCTGCAACTCCAGCTTCGGGGCATCTGGGGATCAGGCACCCTCTTCTGGCCTCCAAGGCACTTGCACGCACATGCAGGTACCCCAACCCCGCAAAGACACAGCCCCATACACATATTAAGAACCAAAACAGAGGCTGAAGAGATGGCTCGGCAGCTAAGAGAACTTACTGCTGTTGCAGGGGCCCCAAGTGTGGTCCCTAGCACCCACACAATGGCTCACAACCACCTATGACTCCAGTTCCAGGGGAGGCAAAGCCCTCTTCTGGCTCCCTCTGGCGCTGCTTGCACATCATGCAAAAACCTGCGCTTGGGCACATACAGAGCAAATAAACGTTTTAAGCTCGATAAACACACACACACACACACACACACCATCTGGTGAGGCAGAGGCAGATGGATCTCTGTGAGTTTGAGACCAATTGGTCTACACAGCCAATTCCAGACCAGCCAGAGCTACATAATAAGACCCTGCCCCAAAGAACAACCACAACAAACCTGCCTTTGAAAGCAGCATGATACAGGACCATCGGTACGTGCTCTTTGCAGAAACTGCTCCAGAGGCTCCCGTGGGACCCCGAGACAATGAAGAGCCGGGAAGGTATTCCAAATGGAAGACCAGCATCCCACGTATGGCATTGATAGCTCATACACACTTATAAAAAGCCCATTCCAGAAGGTAAAATGATGGACGTGTTTTTTTGTTTTTTGTTTCTCTTTCCAGGAATTCCGGGGAGCTTTCACATCTAGGGTCTTCATTTGCCTCAGCAAGCACCTTGATAGCTTTCACCTTGCCCATTCCCTAAAAGGTCCTTGGTGGAGACAACAAAAACGACATATTGATTTCAAATTTCTATCGACAGCCCATACAAAAATATTTAATTCAGTCTGACCCATTCTTATCCCAGTGTTTCTGGGTCATTCTCCTGTGAATTCCCCATATGCCCTTCCCAGCAAAACGAAGCTCTTTTTTCCTTTTCCATATTAGATTTTTTTTTCCCTCGTGGCTCTCAGAAATCATTGCTGCTAAGAGCTGTGTTTAGAAGGCAGGAGGACAATAAGTCACAGAGAAGGGATTTTAACTTTTGGGTTGGTTTCAAAATAATTATAGAAAGTCATCAGCTTGGTGGATTGGTAAGTGATACTGATTAAAATTATATTAAGATGCTGTGGGAAGGGACGGGGGCTGAGTAGGTGAAGAGCGTTTTTACTGCCAAGCCTGGCTACCAGAGTTCTCTCTGTTAGAACCCACACGGTGGAGAATGAGCAATGGCTTCAGCAAATCGACCTCTGACCTCCACACATACTGTAGCACTTGCATACCAACACTAATATAAATAAAAAATATCTTTTTTTTTTTTTTTTAAAGAGCTGAGGCCTGAACCCAGGGCCTTGCATTTGCTAGGCAAGCCCTCTACCTCTGAGCTAAATCCCCAACCCCAAGAAATATCTTTTTAAAAGAGAAACCTTGCCTCTTTTTATTGCTCTGTTTGTCTTTTTGCCTGTTTTGTTTTGCCTTTAGAGACACGGTTTTTCTATGTAGCTCTGGCTGTCCTAGAACTTGATCTGTAGACCAGGTTGGGCTCAAACTCAGCCTGCCTCCAGCTGGCCTACTCATCTTTAAAAAAGAAGAAAGAAGGGTCTGGAGACATGGCTGAGCAGTTATGAATACCGGCTGCTCTTGCAGAGGACTACGGTTCAGATCCCTGCATTTACACAGCAGTTCGAAGTTACCTGTGAAGCCCAGGTGCAGGCCATCCAAAACCTTCTTCAGGCCTCCACACCTATCAGGCACCCACGTGGACCGCATACAAACGTGTAGATACACACATATACACATATAATAAAAATATACGTATTTCTTAAAAAAGAAGCTGTGCATGGCGAGCCAGCCTTTAATGCCAGCACTTGGAAGGCAAGAAATCTGTGTGTTTTAGGCCAGCTTGGTCTACATAGGGGGTTCCCGGCCAGCCACAGCTACATAGTGAGACCCCCATCTCAACATCAACAAAAAGACTATATGAGGGTAGGTGTGGAGCAGTCAAATTCTGGTAGACTATCATGTAATTACTAATTTACGTGGAAAGCTGTGGAAGTATTAAAGCAGGGCGTTTTAAATCTTCGCAGAGCTGAGCGAGTGCAGGCGTCTCTTAGGAGAATCTTGCATGCCGAGCAGGCGCAGAGCTGTTGCCAGCACTGCAAAGTTCTGGAAAACGGCCCACAGCCTCGCTTTTAGAGGCGGACCCCAGTCAGGCTCAGCTGGTGAGAGACAGTGGGAGGCCACCCACCGTGCCACCAGCTCCCACCCTGGGTACAAGGAGCAAGGTCAGGGAAAACACCTGCCAGCCGCAGCACAGACGGAAAATACACGCACTTCTGCCCCGCCCTGGCACCGCCCTGGTACCTCCGCACCTGATTGGCTGGAATTCAGGGACGTTCTGTCGCCAACGCCACGCCCTCTGCGGTGTGCGCAAGCGCAGCATGGCCCGCACGGCTCAGGCACTGGCGACTCGTTTTGCTGAACTGTCCTGAGCTTCGGAGCCTCAAGTTTGGTAGCACCACGAAAGCAGATTCTGAACAGACTAGGTGGCCTCTTGGGTATTCTGAACCTCAGGCAAGGACATTGCCTGTTCATAAAGTATATTCGTGCTCAGTTTTAGTGGATGCTAAATAATGGCTTCAAAATGTCCAGTCACTGAACCTGACTATTCAAGGCAGAAGAGGATTGGGGATTGAGGTTGTTAATCAACTGACCTTAAAATAAGGTGGTTGGCCCTAGGGGTGTAGCTCAGTAGTAGAACTCTTGTCTAGCATGTGTGAGGGCCCTCTGTTTGCTCCCCAGCACCATAAATAAGAGTTATACATAAAAGTAGAGATATCATTCTGGATTGTCCAAGCGGCCCTGATGTAACGACAAGGGCTCTGATATGAGAAATAGGAGCAGCACATATGAGAACCAGAGAAATAGCATGACAACAGAAGTGGGACATGGTGACTCGTGCCTTTAATCTCAGCGCTCAGGAGGCAGAGGCAGTCAGATCTCTGTGAGTTTGAAGCCAGCTCCTTTACATAGCGAGTTTCAGGCCAGCCAGAGCTGCACCATAACCATCTGTTAACTCCAGGGTCAGGGGATCTGATATCTTCTGGCCTTCACGGGCACTGTGCACACACGAAACACACACGAAACACTCGTAAATCTTTAAAAAGTAATTAAAACAAACAAAACAAAACGTGAGCAAGCTAGCCAGGAGTGATGGCACATGCCTTTCATCCCAGCGCTCAGGGTGTCAGGGTGTGTGAGCACGACTTTGAGGCCAGTCTGTGCTGCTTAGCATGTTCCTGTCACACACACACACACACACACACACACACACACACACACACACACACAC